AGCACCGTATAAAATATGAAGTCAAATGAAAAGGAAGAAATTCAAATAAGAATCAGATAAATACAGATAAAATGTAGGGAGAAAGTAAGTAACTAGCAAAACGATGCAAGAAAGTCTGTGCGTGCAATAAGAAATGTGCAAAAAAACACACAACGAAACATTCTCCCGTAACCCTGACAAAAGTAGCAAGGCGTCGAGAAACAACAATGAAGAATCAGTGAAAAGAAAGGATGGAAGGAAACGTTCAATTTTTTTTTCTGTTTTGTATTAACCTTTCCACAACGAAAGCCGTAAACATCAGAAAGAAAGAACAAAAACAAAATGAGGGAAAGATTAACATGTTCACATTTAGACCGAGAAATAAGTGACTAAGAAAAAATGGCGATTATCGGTAAGAATGGAGGGATGAAAAGGCCAGGAAAAGGAATAAGGCAAAAGAAATCAAAAGTGAAACAAGAGAAGAATAATGCAATGGCAAATGGCATATAAAATATGAGGAAGGGAAAGAGTTATGGGGCGTAACGTTATCATCGGCTCTTGTTTACCGTCATCGATCAGCGACAGAGTCAAAAATATTACAAGTGAAAGTGAAAGTGAAAGTACATTATCATACATCAGTTTTGTTGTGTAAGTGTGAGCGTATCGCCGTATGGCTATATATGAGAAAAGGAAAAACCTTGTTTATCTGTCAGTGGAAATATATACTTTTTAATGTGTTTTTGATGTACACATTCATATATACAGGGTGCAAAGGATAAATTTTCGACATTTTATATTTTTAGTTTCGCGCATGCGCGTTATTTTTTTTTTTTATTTTGTCAACTGCGCAGTATAATAGGCTCAGTTGGACACCGCCTGTGAGAAGATGAGCGCCATGGCGCAATTCACTCCGTCAGAAATTTGGAAACAGCATGCTATACTGCTTAGCATTCGCGCCAGAAACTCCAGTATGAACATTTCAGAGTTCGGGTGTGTCTGAGGACAGTGCAGAAAATTTGGAAACAGTTGCACGAGTCTAATGGTGATTAAAAAGCTATTTGGAGTGATCACTAGTAATGGCGACGTTATATCTCCGTTCATCTTGCCACAATACCTCAGACACAACGGGAAGGCCTACATCAAGTGCCTTGAGGAGGTAGTGCTGACCTGGATCAAGAGGGTAGCTGCTTGAAGAACCTATGTCTACCAACAGGAATCTGCACCATGACACACAAACAGGAGAACACAGACATGACTGTCAGACAATTTCTGCGGTCACATCAGCCCTTGTATCTGGCTAGTTGAGTGACAGACCAACACAACTCCTTGTAACATCAAAGATGAACTGAAGGCAAGGATTATGGCAGTGTTCACTAACTTCAATAGAGAGGGACCGTCCAGAAGAGATGCAGGAAATTCCGAAATTATCTGGAGGACGTGGTTGAAGCAAATGGCGATTTTATTGAATAAAATTTATTTTCAGTATTTCAAGATATTTCTGTGTAATTTTAGCAAATATATCTGTTAAAATGAGATGTCAATGTTATTGTCATTTTTCCATAATTAGACAACAATTTATCCATCGCACCATATATATGTGTGTGTGTTTGTGTTTGTGTAATCACTTTAAACGTTATTTTTAGTAGATACCCATATTTCATCTGACGTTCTACGAAGAGAATCAACGATCAAGCAAGGGCCTTAAGTACAATACATTTCGCTGGAAAGGAAAGAAAGAAAAATTAAATTACTTGCATAAAAACTTCAGCAAAATTCGGCGAATGTTCAAATCTTGCCAGAGGTGACATTTCATTTTAATAAGATATCTTCAATATTCATGCTGAAAAACGAAAATAAATATACTGTTTAAAATAAATTTTACCTTAATAAAATAACGGTATCCATAAAAAGAAAAAACGTTTAAGTAATAAAAACGTCGGATTAATTAATAAAAACATTACTCCTTTAATATATATATATATATATATATATATATATATATATATATATATATATATATATATATATGAGTTTAGTTTGTGTGTGTGTGTGTGTGTGTGTGTGTGTGTGTGTGTGTGTGTGTGTGTGTGTGTAACGGTTCGATGCCGAAATGAAGAATTCTGCTGATACCATACATTGGGAACTGTTAAAAAATTTGAAACATTAATATCATTAAATTTTAAACATTAAAATTAAAAACAATACGTTTTTATCAAATTCATGACTATTTTCCCTCTCTCTTTCTTTCTCTCCCTCTCTCTCTCTCTCTCTCTCTCTATATATATATATATATATATATATATACACAAATACATACAAACACACACGCGCGCACACACATACACACACATATATATATATTCGCGCGTGCGATTATATGTGAGTAAATATGCATAATATAGACATGGCAAAAAGAGTTAAATATAGACAGAAAAATACATGCTTATTGAAGAAGGGTGCGAAAGCGTAGACATATGATACATATATAGATATTCATACATATATGTATATTCTTTTGACAGTGATAAAACTCGCGCGCAGACGAGAAATATATTGCAGCATTGATGTTAAAAATTATATCACCGTACATAACAACGGCTCCTGAAGGCCATCATCTAAATCAAAATGTCTGAAATAAAAGAAAAGAAATGATAAAAGCAAATAAATAAACTTTGCCCAGAAGCGGCAAATATTACACTTCTTTGTCTTGGTTGAACTGCTGTTACCCCTAACCTTGGCTTTTGAGATTTATTACCAACTCTCAGAAAACTGCGCACATATTACAATGGCTTCACCTCATAAAACAATACACACACACATACAAGCAAGCATGCATCGCCTTCTCTCTCTCTCTCATATATATATATATATATATATATATATATATATATATATATATATATATATATATATAAATATAAAGAGTATATAAATATATTCAAAATATATATATATATATAATATATATATATATATATATATATGTCTATATTTCTGAGATGAGTTATTATGTACATTATTTACATTATTTGGACTATTGTCCTCATCTTTGTCGCCATATTTATTACAACGACTGGAGCGACTAATATTACTATACTAAATACACCAACTGGAGTAGTACTGAGATAATGTGAGATATTTAAACCATTAAAATGAGTTCAAATGATTTAAAAGTCACTTTCTGTAAATATAGAGCTCATGTAAAAATCAAAAACATCTTAAAAAGGATTTATCTTTCATATCTCTCCCCATACTTTTGTTTCTTACCATTTAATTTCTTTTAATTTTTCTTCAGATTAAATTTTAAATAGTATTTTCTATGGCGCGCTTAATTAACCCCGTGTTTATTAAACTTACATAAAAACTCGGGGTGGAGCTTATATTCGAAACAGAAAGGTTAATTTATAAGATGTAATATCCGGACCGACATTTATATCTGCTACAAAAGATTAAATGGAAATGTGATATTAGTGCGTTAGTTTAATCTTCTACCAAATAAAGAAACATGATTGAGATATGTTTATCTCTTACTGTGTACAGCGTATGTTCTAAGAATTTAAAATGCTTACTTATAACTTGGCACTGATAGACGTCACGGAAGCTCATAGCAATTAGTGAAGCGTAGACAATAAGGATTGATATACCCAAAAGAGAGTAATAAGCAAAACAGTTTATAAATATATGTAAGTAATATAAATTATATTTTCTGAAATAGTCCTTAGGGTATCATATAAATTAAGTGCACCGAATGAGAAATATATTATTATATATTTTATTTTATACAGCTTTTAAAATGTATTTCCCGATATTGAAATATACAGAAATTATTATGATTTTCTTTCTTATGTATAATTTTAGTCATGTACTTTGAGTGTTTCATAGTATCTGTGTGTGTGTGTGTGTGTGCCATTCTGATCCCGCGTGCGTGTGTGTGTGTGTGTGTGTGTGTGTGTGTGTGTGTGGACAAGGATAGAAATGTGTGGAGAGACAGAGATAGACAGATATAGATGTATAAAATTATATATTTTACATATATGAATACACACACACACACACACACACACACATATATATATATATATATATATATATATATATATATATATATATATATATATATCCTCATTGCGCCTTCTCGGGCTAAAACCTTCAGCTGAATCAATTACTGAGTCTACAGCTAAGAAATTTGTTTCACTATGTCACGTGATACAATTTTTCTTGCCAGAATCTATCTTACATATTGAGAAGTCTACCATTCTCCATTGCTCTGAATACTTTTGACGCATCTGGTGATCTATAAATTTAGAGGTCCTTGATAAAATACAATGAAGAATATGCAATGTTATTTATCCTAGGCTGGAAAATCGGCTTCAGTCTCTTTCCCACCAACCGTAACATAGAATCCGTGCGCCTTTTTAATAAATACTTTCATTGTAATTGTTGTGATGTAACTTCCGCTATGGTACTTAGATTTTACAAATTTAATCGCAGTACTAGAATGGCGGCCAAGTCTCATTATTTTACAGTTGAAATGTTTATATGGAACCGTAAGTTCTATGCTAACAGTTTCTTCTACCGCACTTCTCGCTTGTGAAACTCTCTTCCGGTTTCTTGCTTCCCAGTCAACATTGACCTTCAAAAAGTTTAAGTGCCTTGTCTATCGCCAACTTCTGCCTTCTTAACACATGTTCTTTTACTGTCATGTCATTTTAATAGTATATATATATATATATATATATATATATATATATATATATGTGTGTGTGTGTGTGTGTGTGTGTGTTGTCTGAAAGTGGGCATATTTATAGATCGTGTGTGCTTAATATTGGAGATACAATGTTCACAAATATACAAAGAGTATTTTCAGTGTCAAATCTGAAGATATGATTGAGATAACAAACTCATTCTTATTATACATTTTTCTGGCCATAAACAATATATATATATATATATGTATATATATATATATATATATATATATATATATATATATATATATATATATATGTGTGCATTGCCAG